TATTTTCCGGAAGAGGAATTGTTAATTTTTTACATGGTTTTGTTGTTTGGGGTTTTCTTTGTTTGGTGTGTGGGTTTTGTTGGTTTTTTTTTGTTTTGGTTTGGTTTTTTTGTTTGGTTTTTTTTTTGTTTGTTTGTTTGTTTTTTTGTTGGTTTTTTTTTTTTTTTTTTTTTTTTTGTTTGTTTGTGTTTTTTGTTGTTTTTTTTTGTTGGTTGGCTGTTTTTTTGGGTGGCATGGGGGTTTTTTAAGGGGGAGGGTGGGTGTGTGTGTAAATTTGCTTCCTGCCTTAATTTCAAAGCAAACTGACTTATGTTTGTCAAAGATGCTTTGTGTCAGGTTCATACATCCAACCACAGATACCAGGTTTTAATACTCCTGAGTCTTTATAATACAGACAGTGACTAGATGGCCCTTGCCAAAAATATGGCTATCTAGAGTATATTCTTGGGAAAAAAAGATTTCCATGAGGTTGCTCTATTGGGAAACCTGGAATTCCAGGTGATAGCCTGGTCTTATGAAATGGCCATAGGTCCTGCATTCCTGAGAAATGAGGTATTGTTGTTAAAAAGGTGTTGCTATTGGTTCTGAGTTGCTTACTTACAGTATGGGAAGGAAATTATACTTCTATAACCCAGGTAATGTTTTAACTGCTTATCTTCAGGAATACTGCAGCAAATCTGGGTCTTCTGCTTTCCTTTATAAAGTGCTGGATGAGCTGTAGGCTTGCAGCAGTAAGGGGTAAAGTCTTAACACTGGTGACACTCAGTGGGATACACAGGCAGTAAATGCACAAAGCGACCTCTGAGCAGAGGATAGTTACAGTAGGTGTCAGTTTGTTCCCTAAGAAAAGTACAGCTTGGAACAGACCTGGTACAAAGGAATTCACTTTGGCAGGTCCTATGTATTGATTTATATTTGTACTCTGCTGCTTAATCTTCCAGTGTTTTGAGGAAAAAATGAAGGAAATCCCTTTGCTTTCTGGCACTATATAAAAGTATTGGATAGTGTTAAAAATTCAGAGAAGGCTCTTAATAAAATTACAGAAAAGGAATTTGGGTGGGGTTAATGCTGCCTTTGTAGCTCATGGGGGAGAGAAGATGGGTATGATCTGTAAGAATGCTGTATAGAGCATATGTTCTGTCTACTGTTTTAAAAAAGTCACCTGCATCTTGACAGATGACTGTTGTCACTATTACTTTAGTCTTAATTGTTCAAGAAGACACAAATGAATTAAGTTGCCACTTGCTGTTATTCGAATATTGTCTAAAGGAGATGAATTGAACCTGGTTTACAGAGCTTGTATCATGCCTGTTTTGGAACTGTTTTCTAGAATGCCACATTTATATTAGTTCACTGCACGCAGTTGTGCTCAGAATTTATGGCTAATTGACTGGGCTTTTAAAGCTCTGTCTAAAAATATCTGCGCACAATTTTAGTTCAGTTTTCTGTGATTACTAAGGGACTGTTTGTTTGGAAAATCCAACCACACAGTGCTAGTAATACATGTTCAGAATTAGATAGGAAAAGACATAATGTCTATGTTATTTAACTATTTGGGTTATTTAATAGTGCTTAATAGCTTTATTGACACTGGAGAGATGTAGCAGCACTCTCCTTTGTGTACGTGTATGTGGATTGCACTTACATTTCTGCTTTTCCTGTTGGTCTCTGCAAAATAAACAGTGCCACATTCTCACAGAATTGATGATCTAGGTTTTATATCAAGCCTTAAGAATATGCCTGATGAGGACATCTTAGCTCTTGCTCTAAGGTAGTAAACAGACGTGGTTTGGTAGCTGAGCATTGGTGTTAATGCTTCTGTGATTGCTCACTGCTCTCTTTTTAAACGTGTATCAGTGAAGGGGAAGCCTGGGTTAAAAGGGCAGCTGTTTACTGGCCAGGCTTTTAGTTCACATACAGTATTTCCCTGCAAGCTCATCAATGGTAATATTGAGACTAATAGAACTGTAATGCTTCCTGTATACATGCACAGGAGGATATAAACCAGTATGTTTTGTCTTGTCAGATTTATCGCTGTCATATTGATTTATTCTGTAGCTGTTCAGCTTCCCCCCAAGCTTCCTCTCCTGCTTTCATTCTTCCTTTTATTTCTCTTGCCCAACAGTGATGAATATTGCAGGATTTGTTGACAGAACTGTTCAGCATTGACAGGCAAGACCTGTTTAGAGTTGAATTTCCTGAAGACTTTGTCTATTTTCATAAATATCTTCCCTTTTGCTTTTTAGATCACATGTAGATATAGTTTGGCTAGGAAAACCTGTTCTAGAGAGTCATATCTTCTTAGATAATGGAGACAACTCGAGGAAAAAATGAAGATATTCTTGAGCAGCCTGTAAACTGGAGAGTAGGCAACTCTGCTCCCCCCTTGCATTTCTGTAGGCAGGAATACATTAGACAAATTAGAAGGGTAAGAACCAAATATTTGCCTATGTGCTTGTTTATTCTGTTCCATTTTCCATTTGTGTTCCCCTGCCTGTGTGTCAGAAAAATCCTGGCATAGGTCCAGCTCAGCAAAGCTGTATGTGTTGGCTTTTGACTGGGAATAAATTGTTGCAGTAGGGAGACAAAGTTCTTTTGCATGGGCGGTACTATAGGTGCAGTTAATGCTGCAGTGTGTTTGCAGTCCTGAACAGACTGGCATTCCTCAGGAGACTTGTAGATAGATATTGAAGACAAAGAAAGTTAATCTCACTTCAGTTAAATTTTCTGTGCATTATGACTCTGTTTTATGCTTTGTAAGTGCTATGAAAGTATATCTTGATCTAATCACTATGCAAGATGTCCCAGAAATAAGGGGTCCAAAATAGGGGTTTGTTCACAGGCCAAAAAGCAGTCACCATTTGCATTTAGTTCTAACTCTGTATCATGGCTGTTAATACACAGGAATAATTTCTAGTGATAATTCTTGTACTTTGCACTGGTGAGGCTGTGTCTTGACTGTGAGGCTGGGTTTAGTTTTGGGTCCTTCACTGCAAGAAAGGCATGGAAGTGCTGGAGCATGTCCAGAGGAGGGCAGCAAAGCTGGAGAAGGGTCTAGAGGACCAGCCTTGTGAGGAGTGGCTGAGGGAGCTGGGGTGTTTAGTCTGCACAGGAGGAGGCTCTTACTGCTTATTGCTCTCTACGGGGAGAACTGCCTGAAAGTAGGTTGTAGCCAACTGGGGGTCTGTGTCCTTTCTCAGGTAACAAGCAACAGGATAAGAGGAAATGGCCTCAAGCTGTGCCAGGGGAGGTTTACATTATTAGCAAAAATTTCTTCGCTGAAAAGATGGTCAAGCATTGAAACAGGCTGTCCAGGGAAGTGATAAAATTACTGTCCTGGGAAGTGTTAAAAATCCATGTACATGTGACACTTAAAGACATGGTTTAATGGTGGACTTGATGACCTAGAAGGGCTTTCTCAGCCTTAATTATTCTATGTTCCCTGTGAGTCATCCTGTTTGCCAGCATTTTGTGTATGCTTCTGGCTGTGTTTCCAGGTGGCAGACTTTGGGTGCACCAACCTGTCTGGAAGACTTTACTTCCACAATAAGAGGTGACTGTAGGTAAATGACCCAGACTTTCTGTCAGTAATCTGCCTAAGACGACTTGTCTGGGTTTGGATAAATAATGAGTGCCTTTAAGGGAGAGTATGACAGGGGATATTTGATGTGGTGTAGGGGAGGCTTGAGGATATGTCTGGAGTAGGAAAGAAGAGTAGAAATGCACTGAGGAAAATAGCTTTGTATTCAGCTGCCACTGAGAAAAGATCCTACCAGAACAAGATAAACAGCTTTCTGAGCTCAGTCAGCTGCACCACCTGGACTGGTTGATAATGAAGATTACACATCATCTTCATAAACCACTACTCCTCAGAAAAGAGTATTTATATCCAAGGTGTTCCAAGGGACTTGTTTTGGAATTTGACATACCTATAACAATCGAAACACCTTTCATGACCTGTGTTTGCAAACAAAGCATTTGATTTGTGATGGAGTTAAAGGCGTTAGTCAAATCAAACCCAAATGTAATCTTTACATTTGTTTTTATGAAAATTAATTGTAAAACTAATTTTAGTCTCCTTAAGACAAATTATTGTATTACTAGAACAAAATCAGAATTATGTTACTATTCCAATATATTTTCATCCTCCTGAACTGACTAGAAAAAATTAGTTATTATACAATACTGCCTGTTGCTATTGGCCGTGTATAGTGGTGTCTAACTGCAAACATTTGGTTTGACTGTGTACAGTTCTTGGTCACTTTTTCCACAAACAGAGGCAATGGGCTTAGAGTAGCTCTGTGAGTAGCAGTTAGTTGAGTAGGACAGCAACCTAACCTAACCAGGTTGGCAGCCTCCAGCTCTGGGAAGAAAGCAGATGTTGTGGAAGATAGGAACAGGGACTGGTATGAGACATAACAGATACAAGCCTTTGTAGCACCTTAGAGCCTTCTACTGATAACCAGTCTTGGCTGCCTTTGTAAATTACCGTGGTGCCTCTCAGGTGACACTGTGTCTGTCTGGAACCACTGGCTTGGTCACCGTGTTGTTAAAATGGATTGGAGCACACCAGGCATGTGGCCATTAAAGAACTGCTAGGATACCTTGTCTCTGGTTCTACAGCTGTTTTTGTATAAAGAAAAGGTACAGCTGTGACCTGCACTAAGGAGTTCAGTCAAACATGTTCTGAAAAGTCCAGAAAACCATTGGCACCTGCAAGGAGATGAACTAGATAGTATTGGGCACAGAATCGAGGTGAGGGAGATTTGCTCCCTGTTTCTTTCAGATTGTCATCCAAAAACTTGTTTGTGAGGAGTCTGCAAACAACACAGTGTGCATCATGGGCTTACTCACCCAGCAGCATGTTGCTGTGCATGTTCAGCACAGCACCCACCCAGTGCTCATGCTCCAGCATTTTATCAATTAGTGACTGATGATCATAGGTGACTTCTGGGACAAGTTCTATGTAAGGTCTCTCCTCTTTATTCTTCTCTCTCTAGGCAGGAAGATCCACCGAAACCTTTTTTGCTGCACTCATGCTTGAGGAGCTCTGATGAAGAAGTAAGATTTCTGCAAAAATGTTCTCAAGTTCTGGTGTATTGTCTCCTACCCTCAAAGGATGTCCAGTCTGTCAGCTTGCGCATAGTCCTTGCAGAAATACTTGCAACAAAAGGTAGATCAAAGATAAGAGATGATTGGTTAACCATTTGTACATGTAAAATAGTAGCAATTACAAAGTTTATCAGGTATAAGTCTTGATGCTCTGCTTTTACATTCTGAAATTTAATTTCTGTGATAGCCAGTAAGACACTGTATTCACAAAATCAAGCATAAACTTACTTAATTTTCATGATCCAATGCCAGGCTGTTTATCACATTTCAGGATGAAACACAATTTGTCTTTTCTCATTCTGTTTTTTTTCATAGAGGAATACTTCTGCAGCTTTACCTGGCATTATTTATAGTGATTGTATGAATATTTCTGGCCTTTTATATTACATTCAAATGAATAAACTCAACCTTAAATCTGTAGATCCTATAACTGAATCATTATATTATATTTAATTCATTATTTTACACTTTGATTTATGCAGTGTGTTTTTTAAATTGAGGGGATTTCTATTTTGCTTTTATCAGCTACAGTTTATAAAAACAGTATGCATTTTTTATGTTACTGTCAAATTCAGAAATTATGAAGTCCCAAGTATATTATGCAATTCAGTTTACTTTCATTTCTACTGGCTATAATGTCATAGCCTTCAGAACACGCAGCATAAAGAATGAAAATACGTGGAATTTTCCAAATAGAGCTCAGCTTTGTCAGTGTACATCAATTTCTGTAATAGAATAACCAGTTTTATCAAGAAAGTATATGCAATTTCAAATGTCCTGTGTAGTCCAGAAGACTGGTTTTGGATTTTTTGAGGTTTATAAATGTGGATATTTATTTTTGTATTTTATCTGCAGTTTTCATTTGCAAGACAGCAGTTATTCTTCAACATAAGGATTTTGTTTTAAAATATTTTTTCTCTTCAGTACTGAAACCAGTGGTGGAACTGCTGAGTGATCCAGATTACATTAACCGAATGCTACTCAGCCAGCTGGAGTACAGAGAACAGATGAATGAGCATCAGAAGAAAGACTACACATATGCTCCTTCTTATGAGGAGTTCATCAAGCTCATTAACAGCAGCTCTGATGTTGAGTTCCTGAAACAACTGAGGTATTTAACATTTCACTGTAGCTCATTCAAAACTAAGCATGCTTCTTTTCCAGCCCATTACTAAGATTTGAATGAATTGTGATTTTTCTTTTTAAATTTAATTTTAGATTTCTTTTTGTTTGGTGAAGCAGAGATTGCAAGGATGATAAGCTGCAACATTTGTTAGATCTCTAATGTAATCAGCATTTTAGCTTAGTGGCAAAAAGTGCATAAAAAGTCTGCTTAGTAGTATACTGGAGATGATTGTACTGTTGAAAGGGATAAATGCTTGAAATGGATGAAAGGCATACTGAGCTCTGTGGAGTTAGATGAAATATGTTGAATTTCCATTAGTGTGGATGGTTTTCTCCTCATTACCTTTATGAATTATGACTGCCCGTGGTGTTCTGGTGATGTGAGCTATAGTGATCTTAGGGACACTGAGCATTCAGAACAGCTTGCTGTGATTCTGTGGCGTGGAAAGAAGTTTGAGTTTCAGCACATTATACCACTGGATGAGAGATTTTCCTGGACTATTGCAGGGAGGTGTTTCCCAATTGCATCCTTCTTAACTGTGTTAGTGAACTCTACAGAGCTCGTTAAAAACCGAAAAAACATCACTGAGCTCCTACATATCACGAGTTTGTTTGATGTTTGTTTGCCTGTTTTCTAATGCAAATAGCACCTGCTCACTTTCATACTAATTCCACTCCCTGTGTCATCTCTTTCTCCTTATATCTCTCTTCTTAATATGAGATATTGCCCACATCTCAAGCCTGCTTGCCCAAGAACCAGTTGTTTATGCTTGCCTTATCTTTACAGCTGTTTCTCCTCTGATTTCTGCTTTATGTGAAACGATAAGGAACAACTGACTAGGAAGTGGGGAACAAAGATAACTGCTGTTACAGAACCTCCCTGGATGTCCTTGAGTTGGTTTTGTTGAGCAGAGCAAAGCTTTGGAGGACCCCTGAAACCATTTCTGGAGTGTTTGTCCTAAGCTCTTACCACCAGCCAGAACTGGCAGTTTTTCCTCTTCCCAACTCCCCTCTGTTGCTGCTGCAGGCCAGCTTTTTCTCTTCTCAAATAGCTGTAGAAATATCTGAAATACACATGCATATTGATTACATTTGGTGAATTCTGTGTCATCTCTTGTGACCCTGAATGTCTGTTAGGCTTGGCCTGATCAGGCCAAGAGATGGCTTGTTGTGGAGTGTGCGGGCTGTGCAAATAACGTCATCCTTTCTCTTGTTCTTCTCTTTGATTCTGAAACCACTTGCATTTCTGGGATAGGAAAATACATTTAGGTGATGGTGAAATGATTCTGTTGCTTGGCTACTTATTGTTCATCTGCTGTAAAATTTGCTCTTTACTCTAGGACAGTGTGACTTTCCTGAGAGCAGAAATTAGTCTATATTAGACTCTGCCTAAAACCTAATTGATGTATTTATTAGCATAATCACACTAATGGATCTGTTTGTTTCAAAAGAAACCCAACTCTTATGTTGTTGTTGTTGTTCAAGCACATTAATGCTCAGTGTGTTCTCTTTTTAGCTGATAGGTCACTTTAAATTGCGTTCTCTAATAGCAGAGAGCAGATCTGCTTTATGAAATAATGTGGTTTTGGCTGCACCTAGGTTTTTCCTTTCTAGTCCATGAAGTCCAACTGCTGTAATCTTGAAATGTGTTCCTCTACACCCTACGAAATATCGGTCAGTCTAACCTGATCAGTATTTTAATAGAAAATGTCTGAGAAAATGGATCTTCTTTTTAAAGAGAAATAGTATTTGATTTTGGAGGCAGTGTTCTTTCTTCCTCTGGGATAGTGGTTAAAGAGCATTCCCTGTGGGAGGAGGCATTCCCATTCTCTCTATCCTCCAGCACTGCGGGAGCACCCAGAGAGAGATGGGCCAACCTGCAGTCATCTCAAATTTGTGTAGTCTGTCTGGCAAAGCTTTCATGGTTAACCAGTGAAACCTTGCAGATTTGCATTAACAAACCAAACAGCAGTCCCTATATGGATTGGAAAACAAACAAAACCAGGTGGTACTTAGCTGTAATTCACAACAGTGAACCACAGGGCAAATCTATAAAGAAAGAGTTAAACAGGAAGAAACAAATAAGCTGTTGTGCACTTATCCCTGAGAAGCACAGTAAGAGTCTGTTGCAGTGATGGGAGTGGGGCAAATGCTTCCCGTTCTCTTACAACAAATAAATTACTGGCAAGTTTTACTTAAACAGAGTTTTCCAGTTAGATGCTATTCTGCGTAATTGTTCATCAAGAATTCCTGGTTTTATTTGGAAATAATTTTTCAGTGTCTGTTCTAAGCCAGTGCCTGGCATTCATGATCTCTAAGCCTCCTCCTGTTACTTATAATGTTGCCACATAACATCTTGGTAAAGAACACTGCAGGCAGTGGCAATTTTCATTGTAGGCTTAACTTTGAGGGAAGTTTGTCCTAAGGCAGCTGCTGGGAACTCATTATTTTGTATTAAACGTTCCATTCATGCTTATCTTTGCAGATTATCTGTTTAATAAAATAAAGATAAAATACCTTGCTAAGTTCAAGAGGCTGTGGGACACTGATAAACATTCCTCAGACTCCTGACTGACGGAGGCAGGGACTCCTGGGTGCACCTTGATGAATGCATGTGACAGTACAGGAGGGAGGGCTGATAAGGCATCCTTCCAGACTGATTTTATTAGCAGAGTTTTGCTAGGCTTTCTTGTGGGTATAGCCAGGTATTCGTGGTGGGGAAGGCAGGGAAAACCTCTGGCTGGTTCAGTGGAAACCTGTGGGTGAAAGGTGTGTGTTGCTCTCACCCAGGAAGTCAGAAAAGAGAGGGGGAGGCTATATGGGTCTCCTTGTAAGCAAGTGTTAAGAGCTCTGCTGTGCAAATAGCTCTCCCTGGAAGGGATGGTGCTAGGATTTTCTAAATCTTGTTTCTCTTCTAGCTTAGAAGCACTACCTTAAGAAGAAATATTATATTGATTTTCTGCATGGCTTTTATGGATTTTATTTTTGGAATGCATTTGAATGATGCAATAACTAATTAGTATTAATTTTGGAGAACTTTAGGATTCATAGTTTGTTTGTATCTATAGTGAGCCTCTAACATTTAGTCACTCAATCTCTTGGAACATAGCTGTTGTTTTTGTGGAAATATCCCATGAATTTTTGTAGGGAAATCAGGGGAGCTGATATTTTGATAAAAAGGAATTTGCTGATTTCTGGGGAGCTATTTTGGGTTTTTTTTTGTTTGTTTTCCTATCATACTTTTACCATCTGAAAGGTTGAATTTGCTGGGGGGAATGGGGTGAGAGAAACAAACCAGCAAAGCTTTCACAGAAGGGACCATTGTATGGTTATGTACTAATGTCCTTCAAACACTCTCTTTGTAAAGTTTCATTTCTTTGATGTTTGTCATGAAGGGAGGCAGACTTTTATTCCTGTATTACCAAGTTTTCACCAAGAGTGTTGTCCCTGTCTTTCAAGAAGAAATAGTTAAACAGTGAAATTTCACCTTCATTTCCCCTCAAACTGAAGTTAGCATGGATTAATTGGAATTCTGCTACAAAGAAGGAAGAAAAGATGAGTTCTTTCACATCAGATGTGAAACATGTACCTTCTCTGTCAGGAGAAGAATAAAGATAAAAGACCTGCTGGATTAAAAACATAGTTGAGAACAAATAATAATAAGGAAATAAGCTGGTGGATAGTTTTTATTCTGCTCTCAGGATCAGCATTGTATTTATTCTGATATTTATTGTTACAGAAGCAGAAAGTCACACAGCTCACTACTGACTCTGTATCATCTTTTACCTAAGAAACGAGAGAAGTGCGTGAATTGACAGAGAATAGGGAAGAAGTAATATGGATGTGAGGCTATGAAGGGTCCAGTTTATCAAGTACAGTCACTTCCTCAAAGTTAAATTATCACATCACATTTAAAATGTCCTTAGATGTTGAATCACCAGCACCACAGAATATCAGTGAGCTGGAATATTTGGAACAGAGTTACAGGGAGAAAAGGGTCATGGTGTGGCAGCGTAGCAAAGGGGTGTTTCTGAGATGCAGTGTTGTACAGCACTCCCATTGAATAGTTGCAGCAGGAGCCCAGTGCCTGGGAGGAACAGACTAAATAGCATCTTTGAGCATGTAACTCCAAGCATCTCCCATATTAAAGGAATACAAAGAACAGGAAAAGAGAGATGCTGTGTTAAGTATCGGTAATAAAAACACATGAAACTGCAAAAGTGGACAAATGGGAGGAAATCTGGAAGGAAAAAAAATTGCAAAATAAGTGGGAATTACCTTCCATGTGCAGTTGGTTGTCTGTACCTTGTTTGATAAATTCATGATTTCAGTTAGCCTACACCACCTGAGTGAGGTGAATTGCAGTGCATTTACAGATCACATAATCAATGCATCAAAGGTCTAACTGAGCTGCCCTGAATAATTTGCGAAGTCTTTGAGTGGGGAATTAACTGTGGGACTTCCTATGCACCACACCACCACTCTTACTGTGGGGCTGTTCTTCCTCTGACGGACTGGGCAAGAACTCTGGTGGTGGGTGGAAACAATCAAAATACAGTAATGGCAAAAGGAAGTAGTGTTACAAAAATTACAGGTTTTCAAACAGGTTTTCAGGTTTCAATTTGATAATTGAAGAACTTGCTGTAGAAAAAAGTCTGTGAGTGTATGCTGTGTGTATAAAGCTGCTTATACAAAGAGCCAGAGACAATCAAAATCCTAAAAGAGGTATAGGAGGCAAGAGAAATGGGGGTAATAGAATGATGTTGGTGAAAAAAGTTTACATGAAAGAAGGGAAATATGTTTTAAGGATCACATGTTCTTTCTTCAATGGAGAATAAGTCATCACAGAAATAGCAGCCTTTCTAGGAGGCTTCAACTTTCATCTAAAAGTTAACTTGATAGATTCAAGATAAATTCACTGGAATATTTGCTTTCTTACCAGTATTAATAGCTGTCAGAGTAAGTGCATTGAAAGGAATTTGAGTGTTATGACCAGAACTTTGACATTTATGAGACTTAACTGACAGTAATTTTCTTTGCTGAGTGCATGGTATTTCTTATTTACAAAATCAGTTTTACTTAAAATTCAGTTTGCTAGCTACATTAACTGTCTGCTATTGTTTACTGTAGTTTTAGGTGATAAACATGTTTTAATTATTCCTGGAGTGTAGTACTTTGAGATTTTACATATTTTAGTATAATTTGTTTCTTCTGCAAATTTATATATGCTCCATTTGGAGTGGATTAGCTGGAGGAACCTTACAGCTGGTTCTTTTCTTTTAAACTGAACTACCATTCTGGTTTCCTATGAAAATTTATATTTAATGTTTAGAGTATGACTTTATATTGTGACTTTATATTGTGTTGTGAATATTACCTGTCTGTGCAATGCCATCAGTTGAGAGAAGAGTAAAGTGTTACTGTCAGTTGAATGTTTCCTTTTTGTTTCAAGATAATCTGTTTTCCCTGCTCCATGTGCACACTGCTCCTTAGGTTGCAGGTACACTGCAAGATTAATCTGTTTCTAGATGAGGAGGAAGTAGAAGTATTTTGATTTTTATTAATTAGTAAGTGTGCTGTATGAAGAACACATTGTAAAAAATTAATACCATGTTTTTTTCTTCTCCTCCTTCTCTTCACCCTTATTCCCTACTGTTTTTAAATTAGGTATCAAATTGTAGTGGAAATAGTTCAGGCAACCACAATCAGCAATATTCCCCAAGTGAAGAGACAGAAAGGTAAGATTCCATGTTTAAGTCACATCTGTTGTTTTCATTTTGAAAAGCTGTTTGAACTTATGCCATACATATGCAATCAGTGTGTGTGGGTTTTTTAGACACATTGTAGGAATGCTATGCCTTTAGTATTTTGGTTCTGTTTAATTTGTCTGAATCTTCCAGAAGCTCACATGGTATGATTATCCCCCACCTTATCTTCATCTAAGCTGATGGATCATGAAAAAGGTCATAACTATGATACATTTATTTTCAGAACTTGCTGCAGCTGGGATTTCTGACATTACAGATTCATATGCTGAGAATCATATTTCCACTTTCTTTTTCATACAATCTGTTCTTCAAAATCTCAGTCTGTTCTCTTTTTGAAACACAGAAGAAGGAATGATACAGCATAATTTGTCAGACTTTATTTTGACTCTTCAATGTATTATGTTTTTGAGTTGCAATAAAGAGTCCTCTTGATTTTCTGCAATGATTTGGCCATGGCTGCCTTTTTAAAAGCAATGCATATTACAGTTGTACTTATATTTATTACATATACTACTTTTTATGGCTCTCAAAATATGTAAAACCTGAGGTATATCATCAGGAGATGATCTTAATGGCAAAATTACTGACTAAATAATTGTTTAGGGAGGTATACTTCAGTAGTATCAATGCATAATAAAAAGGCAACAGATAGTAAAATCAATTTCTTTATAAATAAATCTAAAAGATTTTAGGTTCTCATGTAATCTCTATCTCTCTCTAGGTTAAAAAAAATAATTTTCTAGTTCCATGTATCAGAAAGGAAAACTTTAAAAGGTATATTCAAGTGTAATGAAAAATGCAGAAACAGAAAATGAACAGTGGGGTGGGGAAATTTTTGGCAGTCTGAAGAGCTTGAGGTCCATGCTCAAGTTTTGGAAAGTATAAGGCTGTCAACACCGACAATACTTTTTGTTTACACTCTAAAATAGAGCTAAATGTGCATTCCAGTAGGATATCACGCTTGTACCAAACCAAGGTAAAAGGAAAAGTAGGCATTGGTTTTTATTCTAGTGTACATTATAGAAATTGATATTAATATTTTTCAGATGAAAGATAATTGAATGGAAAGTCTGTTTCATAAAGTAATAAAATGAGAACAGGGAATTTAACTCTGAGAACATTAAGAAAAATCAAATCTTGCTAAGCCTGTATTTCCATTTGTACTACCATTGGTCCTGTTGAGGCAATAATTGATTTGGGGAATATTTTTATACGGTTTATGTTCCTACAATTAATTATTTATTAATTAATTCTTGATCTCACTTGACTTTATCTGTTTAAATATCTACTGTTCTAAATTATGATTAGAAGTTTTTTTTGAAGCTACAGTTGTCTGGTACTGCAGAACAGATACAAAAGTATAGAGCAGGTGGTATGTGGTAAAGTTGATTCTGCATTTTTATGGGCACTTGATTTCTTCCTGTACTAAAAAAAAACCAAAAAAAACAAAAAACAAAAAAAAAAAACACTAACAAATTTCACTAGGTGGTGCATTGAAGTTTTTATTATTATATGGACTTTTATTTTCGGTTTATTCCTATGGTGACCTTATATATAATTTAAGGGTTGATTACCATTGCTGACTCTGTCAGCTATGGGGACTATTGGGGCTAACCCTTTTGTTTATTAAAGAGCCAGTGGTTATGCACATTGTCTGAAAAGGTGATGTTTTTGCTTGACACATATGAAACAGTGTGCCCAACAGAGGCATGCAAATACCATCTTTTTATAGTTCACACAAATTTAGGGCAGATTTTTAATTTCAGTTATTTCACTCAGTTTTCATCTACCAAAATTTTTCAGGCTCTATGTATGTACAATAAACTCTTAAGAAGACTATCAAAACTGTAGAGGGGTAAAATCTATTTCTGAAGACTGTTTTGTGCCTTATTTTTCCTAAAGGAGGTGGAGGCATTTTACCTAATATGGTAATGAATCTAATATGATCCTGAATTTTAAAAACAAAATATTAGAGGAAAAACTGTGGTACCCTTCTTAAAAAAAACCAAAACCCAACAAGAAACCCCAGCACAGCTCATTGCTAACATAAAGATAGTTGAAATCGTGTAGAAGAGACTGCCATGTAACTTAGCATCATGTTTTGGTGTTTCATTTTCTGGATGTTAAATCCAGGGGTAGCCTTACAGTTTAATGGTCAATAACTAAATGTAAGCTTTATGCAAAATCAAAGTGTGTCTGCACAATCTCATTCTGTCTTTCTCTTTTTAATCTTCTCCCCCAGCATGTGGTGCTGTGTGAGCGTGGCAGCTGGATGTATATGACAGTTCCTTCTTAGCTGTTAAATGAGCTCCTGCCTTTTGTGTCAAGGGCACCTCTTAGCTTTGACCCCAACCTGGCGAGAAATAGTCTTACTGATAGCTATTTCCTTTTTCCTGTGGCAGAGTTGGGTCCTGAAAATGTAACTGCTTCTTTAGTGCCTGGGTGTTCAACTAGAGCAGCTGAACTCTGGCTGGCCAGCATTGTGTTGAGCCTGATGTCTGCTCTCAAAGTGTAAGAGCAGAGCAAGCATAGATAGTACGTACGTGGATATAGAGTGGTTTGGGTTGGAAGGGACCTTTAAAAATCCTCTACTCCAACCCCTGTGCAATGAGCAGGTACATCTTCAACTGGTCTGCTCAGAGTCCCATCCACCTGACCTTGAGTGTTTCCAGGGATGGGGCATCTACCACCTCTCTGGGCAGCCTGTTCCAGTGTTCTGTCACCCTCATTGTAAAAGACACTCCTTTTATGTAATCCAAATTGTCCCTCTTTCGGTGTAAAACCATTGTCCCTTTGTCCTATTGCAGCAAGCTCTGCTAAAAAATCCATCCCCATCTTCCTTACAGGCCTCTTTTGTATGGGTGTCCCCAAAGCCTTTTCATCTCCGGGCTGAACAAGCCCAGCTCTCTCAACCTTTCTTCTTGGGCGAGGTGTTCCATCCCTCTGATCATCTTCATGGCTCTCCTCTGGACCTGCTCCAGCAGGTCCATGCCTTTCCTGTGCTGAGGTCCCCAGAACTGGATGCAGTACTCAGCTGGGGTTCCACATGAGAGTGGTCTAAGCCTCCATCACTTGGAAATATGGGAGCTCCCTGAGGCAGTGTTTTCAATAGAAGAAGGTGTAAACAAAAACCTGAGGAGCAGGTAGTGTAGCAGAGGTGGCCTGAACTGTGCAGTAGTGAGTGCTTAGCCACTATTTATACTTTTCTTAGCAAAAGAAGTGTTGTACAACCACATGACTAGCAATAAGTATTCCTGAGCAGGATTGTGGGCTTTTACTATTGGTTAAGGAGAAATAATTAAGTCTCAAAAAGTGACCAAAAGTATTTCTTTTTTCTAAAAAGATTAGGTGTCTGTTATTAAAGGATGAATAGCCTGAGAACCAGATTTCAGACTGATGACTTCTCATAGGGGCTACAGTTACCTGACCTTTTTACTATTTTATTTGGTGATACCAAAGTGCGCATTTAATGTTGATGCCTAGTAAGGTGGGAGAGGAAAGCTTGTTGCTCAGTAAGGGCAGGGTTCTTTACGCTTTTTAACTAGTGCTGGTGCCACCTATTGGCAAAATATTTAGCTGTTAGGACACTCTAATAAAATCAGAAAGTATTTTAAAGTTCTTCTAAACATAACTGTGTTAAATCCTCAGTAGGTAAAAAATGGCATGTTATAGGGCTTCTTTCTTTTCAGATTTCTATCACTTGAATCTTCTGGTACGTGAGCATAAGAGAGCAAACAAAAATGTACAGAAGCATGTGATTCATGTTAAGCAGTCGGTTTTGCATTTGGTTCCCTGAGAGAGTCAAAGGTCTAAAATGTTGAGACACAAAGTAATGTGAGAGGTTTGCAGTCTGATGCCACTTGTGGGTGGATGATAGAATTTCTGTGGCCGGGAGAATTGCTTTTGGCTTTGCTGAAGTTGAATAAGAAACCTAACACAGCATTATTGTTTCTAGAAGCGTAGATAGTTTATTTTGGAGCAGTGCAGGTCACTTCTGTAAATAGAATCTGTTTCCTTGCATTCTGACCCTGCACTTCTCATTTGCACTGGCACAAAAGCACAGAATCTGGTGTGTGCATGTATCTGCCTTACTTCACTTTTCCTACATTGTCTTCCTGTGTATCTTCTTCCAAAATGGTCATGATCACTCACGCAGTGACTGTAGGAGAAGCTTCGTTTTGGTGGTAGTTTTGTTGTTGTTTTTCTTTGTTTAATTTGTCTGATTTTTCTTCCTGTTGGTATTTTCAGATGGTACCCCTCTCTAGTCACGTGCTATGCTTAAAAGAATCGTATCCTTCTACATCTTTAACTACAAACAACTCTCCTCATCTTACCTTTTGATACAGATTCATTCTAAATAGGGAACCAATTAAAATTTAAGCTAAATTTTAAGTATTTTAGTTGTTTGTTGGCTTATTTTTTTTTTTTACAAAATCTGTCTTATCTGCTAAAGATTTTGAAGGATCAAATGCCTATCTGAAAATGTTTACTGCATTTTGATTTATTAAAGCAGTTTGTAAGAGGACAAATACCTGGATTAGGCATTATAGCATGAATGACAGATGATATGCAAGTCTCTAGAAGCAAGAATGAATCTTAATTTTTGTAAAGAAAAGGTTTCAAAAACACCAATTGGGAAATAGCAACAAAAGTAAGTTGCTATAATAACTTGATATTTGCTGTAACATGAATAGGAAGCTGCTTAAATACACTTGTTCTAATTTTAACAAACACATTTTTGTTTCTTCTCATACTGATATTGTATTACAGGATCCTACCAGAATTTTAGCAAGGTTCTCTTTTAGTAGCTGCTTTTTACAAGAAACCCAAAAAATGCCTGTACCTTGTCTTAGGACAACACAGAGCAAGTCTTTTTTGGAATGATGTTTTGTAAAGGGATTTGTCTGATTTGCCTTTTAATTTTCTATGCCCTCCACCTTACACATGACTTCACAGCAAGACTGGAAACC